AGCTTCGTCAGAGCTGCATGCACAGGAAACGTCACTGACAGGTTATTCGGCTGCTTGACTCCCCCTAACACTACTCCCTCGGATAAAGGACGGGGGATGACATAGGTATACTCTTTTCCATTGCGAAAGTACATCTGTCGACACTTGTCGGTACGGTAAAAGACATTCTGGCCTCGCTCAGGAAAGCACTTGTCATCCCGGACGTCGGCGAGGGTTTTGCTTCCGAGCCCGCTGGCGTTGATGAAGACACTTGACTCGGGGAACATGGTGTATAGTTCCTGGAGGGACCCAACCCGCTTCCGAATGAACTGACCACCAAGGGCGGTTATCTGCTTTCCAAGATAGGGCATGTGACGTGTCGGATCCGTTACCAGTGTTTGGTATGACCACCCGCAGTGGAAGTTAGGAGGATATTCGCCGGGTTCCAGTTCACGAAACTACCTCCGTCAGTATGCCGATACACAATGAGCGGGACCGCTCCATTACCTACATTTGAGACCACAGTTTTACCCCAGATGGAGGAGTTCTCGGATGGCGCTTCTTCAAGATACTCGCGCGCATCCACAAGGCAAACTCCCGACTCGGGGCCGTCTTGCGACATCTTCAACAGATGCCGATGCGTCACAGCTTGAAGGTATCGATATTCGGGGCTGATACCGCCAGCAGCATGCCATGTTGCTCCAGCCCAGGCAGATGCGTAGAGAATATTTTGGTCGCCTGGCAGGAACTCGGCAACAACCACAACGCGAAAGCCATTCAAGAGGAGCTGTCTTGCTGTAGCGCACCCGATGATTCCTGCGCCTAGAATGACGATCGGACGTTGTGAGAATGGTACAGGAGACGTGTGGAGACTTTGATCGCATTCCCCCATTTTGTGCATGAAATCTTGCTGATACTTCTGTAGAGATTCGAGACTCGATCGTTTGTCTCAGAATATGGGGATGGGATAGTTCCCAAATATCAAGAAGCTGGATTCTCAGAGGGAAAAGGATGAGGGTACAAGAAAGACACCCAACAAAGCTGCCCGAAGGGAGAAGATCTTGGTCGGTGCTGATAGTACCTGATGTATCCGGATATTGATCCTTTTTAACACAAACTATGCCCGATCACCGTTCAGATGCATTGCAGTTCATTTCTTTATATCCGCCAGCCACAACTCTCTTAGCAGAAATGGCTCCTGACATCTGCGTTGGAATCGGAGAGCGCTCAGATCCGACTGTCGGCTCTACCCGCTGGTAGAGGACAATAGTTATTATCAGTGCAATGGACTAGAGATAGACTAATCTGCAGCCAAAGTATTGCAAGGCACGTCAACTCAATTCTTAGGTTTAATGATCCGACCAATCTGGAAGAAACTAGCGGCCCATACCGACAAGCCCGTGGATGTTTCTCCCTGAAGACTACGTTTATCAGAAGACTCTGGCTAAGAATCAGAGCGAATAGATTAAGATCTGCGAAGAATGAGATGGCTCCTTCTGACTCTGCGAGTCATGCTGCATATAATGCCGTCTTGCGGGTTGAGGAGTTTTACCGAAACTACTCCGTTTGAAAGCAAAATAGTCTTTTCATCCTTTGGCGACCCAGTCGAATCATTGATCTGATTTTTCACAATAAATATATTACTGGAGTCTTCTCCAGACGGATCTTCTCAACAATTCGATCTGGCATCTTCTTTGACAATATACTGTATTCTTGGTCGGAAGAACACGATGTTTCGAGTCTCTCAACGGCAGTGCAATCACCTGACTTTAGTCCCCTCAACTGATGCAGAATTCACGTTGCAGGAGGCAAAGAAGGTGATTTATCCATCAATCAGTCATTAGAATTCGAACCACCAGCACGGACTATTTATCTTAATTCTTTACTTCACTTGCTTTATTGATTGTGAATTCCATAACGAGTAACAGTATTCACCTTATGCCTTAGAACTCAGATTGTTGAAGGGCGACAGCCTAACAACAACAACAAAAGTTATTCGCTACATTGAACCGGGGAAATAGCCAACTCTCATCCATTTATCCCATTCCCATACCCATACATCATCGACTGTATCATCTCTCGAGTCTAGGAAACAAGCTACTTATGGTGGCGTCAGATATCGTGCAACTGGGGTTTCACCTACAACAGGCCATGCACTTTTTCTGATCGATCTCCACCACGCCAGACCCATCTCCGATCAGTCAGACGAGCCTCTACGGTCCTACCCGGGACTAGATAGTCTAGGCTGATTTCGAGTATACATAGTAGCATTCCAGGTTGCAACTTAATGAAGCCAGGATATGGCTGGGATCCAGAGTCCTCATGTTGATTCGCCAGAAGATGAAAAGGTCCAATGTAAGGGATCGGTTCAGGTGGGTTTCGCCTTGCAATCCGTGTTCTATTGCACATGTCTCCACCGTGTTTTTATTTCCTATTCAAGTGTGACATCTTGATTGCGATCCACAAGTCAATATCTGCCCATAAATCTCCACTGGTGATACGGTAGGTGCAGGTTTGGGTATTAACGAGAAGTTTTGACTAGGGACCTTCTACAACGGCGGTCCATGAGCATGCCAGCGTCCTCAACGACTATGATGCTCAGAAAATCCTCCCGTATGAAGCTGACGATTCTCCATTTCCTGAGGTCCGCGCCGTGGTGCAGCCAGTTGACGACGTGAGTCTGCCTGTCAACACAGTGCGTGTGTGGATCATCGGCATCATATTCACTATTGTATGTCCTACATCTCTTGAAATTATCTGTAGATCAAGTCGCTAATGCATTAACAGGTGGGAAGTGGGTTGAATCAGTTCTTTAGTCTGCGACAGCCCAGTGTCAGCATCAGTGCTCTGGTCGCGCAGCTCGTGGCGTACCCGATCGGTTGCGCGTGGGCAAAATGGGTGCCACTGGGCTTGGCGAATCCGAACCGGCATTTCAACATCAAGGAGCATGCTTTGATCACAATTATGGCCAATGTCTCCTTTGGATCTGCTTCAGCTACCCAGGTGATTGAGGCTGCCTTGAAGTTCTACGGGATGCCTTCACGAGGCGGATATTACCTGCTTTTAACGATAACCACCCAGCTACTCGGCCTGGGTCTGGCGGGGATGGCTTCGCGCTGGCTCGTTGGTCCTGCTACGATGATCTGGCCTGGGGTGTTATCAAACGCTGCGGTGCTACAGACACTGCATTCACGCAGCAATCTGCTCGCAGATGGGTGGATTGTGTCCCGCCTTCGTTTCTTTCTAATAGTGTTTGGTGTTGGTGCTATCTGGTATTTTGTCCCAGGCTATTTGTTCACCGCGTTGAGCTCGTTCAGTTTTGTGTGCTGGATTGTCCCGCATAACGTCGTCGTCAATCAGCTGTTTGGCCAAGAGACCGGGCTGGGGATGTCTCTTTTGACCTTTGACTGGGCACAAGTCGTCTTCGCGAATCAAAGTCCGCTCCTCGTTCCTTTCTGGGCCGGACTCAACGTGATGGGGTCGTTTGCCTTGTTTTACTGGGTCATCTGTCCCATCATCTATTACACCAACACATGGTACTCGGCCTATATGCCTATGATGAATTCTAATACGTTTGACAACACCGGCAGACCATATCACACAAAGCGTGTCATGAATAGAGATGGGACGGTTGACACTGAGGCATACCGCCGTTATTCGCCCATGTTTCTTCCGGCAGGCTATGCACTGACCTACGGGATCGCATTCGCCAATCTTACAGGCATCTTTGTCCACGTTGCGCTGTATAATGGAAAGGATCTGTGGGAGCAGTGGAAGGGCAGGAACAAGAAGGATATCCATGCGCGATTGATTGCTGTCTACGCAGGCGTTCCCTGGTGGTGGTTTGCCGGCGTGACCGTTCTGATATTCGCGCTCAGCATCGTAGCCAACGAAGTCTGGCACACGGGGCTTCCGGTTTGGGCTGTTGTGATCGCGTTTATCCTTCCTATGATCTACTTCGTTCCAGTTGGGATCATCAAGGCTACGACCAACATCAGCAGCAACCAGTTGAACCTGATCACGGAGTTCGTTGGAGGATATACTTTTCTGGGACGACCTCTGGCAAACATGATATTCAAGTTCTACGGCTATGTAGCTGTCTCCCAGGGTCTGGAGTGAGTGCGATCCCGTCACTAGTCGACAAAGCTGACAGTTTAGATTTGTGGCCGACATGAAACTCGCTCATTATCTCCACATCGCCCCACGTACACTCTTCATGGCCCAAGGATTAGCTACCCTCGTAGGAGCCATCGTTCAATGCGGTGTCACCGTCTTTATGGTCACAAGATTTGACAAAATCTGTACCCCAGAGGCTGATGGTGGATTCACCTGTCCTCACGGTCGAGTAACATATTCGGCTTCTTTGATATGGGGTAAGTGCATCCCTCCTTCCTCCTGATACTCTTACTGACAGACAAGGCGCCCTGGGTCCCGGACGAAACTTTTCTCCCGGTCAAATCTATGGTAATCTCCTCTGGTTCTTCCTCGCTGGGCCTGCAGTAATTGTCATCACCTTTCTCCTTGGACGACGATGGAAGTGGTTTAACAAGATCTCTTGGCCTGTCGCCTTTGGAGCCATGAGTCTTGTTCCGCCTGCGACAGGGATCAATTTCTCCTCGTGGTGGGTGGTCAATGTAATCTTCAATGGAATCATCAAGCGGAGGAAGCCTGCATGGTGGTCCAAGTACAGTGGGTCATATTTGACTCTGCGGTAATGCTTGTACTGACTCGCTTAGATTACGTTCTGTCTGCCGCCCTCGACTCTGGCGTCGCCGTGGCCACCGTCGTCATTTTCTTTTGCATCATGCTTCCTGCCGGCCCATTGCACTGGTGGGGGAATATAGTGTATCGCAAGACTGCAGACGGGATGGGAGCGCCTCTCAAACACTTGCCGTCTTCGGGATACTTTGGGCCACCGAGAGGGACATGGGAATAGATAGATCCCTCCGCATATAACGAATTCATGACCATCCAGCCTCGTCCCAGGAACTACCCATCAATAGAAGTAACTGGATCTAAGATCAAACCTTGACAGCACGTCCCCTGACATACACCTTGGCAATATTTCGATCATCTCCCGTCATCAAGAACTTCTCAAAAATGACCTCAATGGAATCCCCCTCTTCCACCGGCGCCATAACACCCATCTCCGCCCCCTCCCCAGTCCGTATCTCCAATGCATCGAACTCCTTGCCGACAGCGAAATTACCCACCCTCTCGTCCAGCCCACACACCTGCGCACCCCCCAAAGTCGCCAGGAAGAAACACTCCGCCACCGACAACGCCGGATCCGCGCCACGGGTCTCCGTCGCCCGCGCCGTAGACACCACAAACGCCTGCTTCATCACCTCGAGCATGGAGATCGAATGACCCCCACCACTGTCAGTTCCCAATCCGACCTTAATTCCCCTCCGCAGGTACTCTCGTACCGGCGCAACCATAAACGCCTGCATCGTCGTATTGGGAATAGGACAATGCGCCACACCACAGCGCAGCCGCGCCAGCGTCTCCATCTCCTCCTCGCGCAGGAAGATACAATGCGCCAGGATCGACCGCTCACTCAGCAGGCCAAACCGCGCATACAGCTCCGCCTCGTGCGCGAAGTCCGGGAACAGCTGCCTCGTAAACTCCATCTCCTGCTGCGCCTCGTTGAAATGCGTCTGGATACGCAGGTCCGGGTTCGCGGCCGCCAGCGCCCCAAGACCTGAGAGAACCTCCTCGTCGCAGGAGATCGCGAAGCGAGGCGTGATCACCGCGTTCACGAGCGATCGGTCGTCGGTCCCGTTGAACTCGCGCATCCACTCGATGAATTCCCGGGTCTCTTTGACTGAGACCCCTGCGTTCAGATCGCGGTACCACCCCGGTGCGTGCCGGTTCATGTTGCACCGGCCGACGAGCGCCCGCTGACCCTTGGTGCGGCATACTTCGGCTAGGATCTTCGTCGCGGCTAGATGCTTGGAGGCGTAGTAGCTTGCTGTTGTGATTCCCTGCCGGAGTAGCCCGTCCACGGCGGCGCTGTACATGCGCTTTGCGTACTCTATGTCCTCGAATTTCGCTTCGTGTGCGAAGGTGACTTTCTCCAGCCAATCGAGGAGGGAGAGGCTGCGGCCTACGCCGCGCTGTGCCCACTGCGGGGCGTGGTTGTGAGTGTCGATGAAGCCTGGGATCAGGAAGGAGTGTTTGGGCAGGTGTTTGACGGGGAAGACGTCTGGTGCGTAGCCATTGTCTGCGATTAGGGTGTTGATGGTTGAGGGGTCGGTGTTGGGGACCAGAGCCTGGATGTTGCCCTCGAGGTCGACGAGGAGGAAGGTGTTGGGGAGGATTTGGAGATCGGTGGGGGGAAGGGAGTGGATGATTGTGCCGTGGAAGGCAATGGGGAGGCCTGTTGCTGTTGGTGTTTCGTTCATTTCTTCTATGTCTATGAGTAGCTTCTGAGGTGATGATGGTATGAGCGAAGAGTGTTGAGGATGGATGCTTTATCAGTGCGGGGCAGCTGCAGGTGACACAGAGATCAGCATGCAATGATACCGGCCGTTTTTGCAAAGCATCTAGCTGATGTCGACGATGATTATAATTCTTTAAAATGAATATATATGTGTGCAGTATTAGCAATATCCGAGGTAATCAAAGCCATTGCTTCCGAATGATGCCCGCAGTGACCCAAAAGTTCTTTCCACTTGATGCAGTTGGCAACATGCCTATTAAGTCCAGCGAGACGGATATAGATGAGCATTAGGAAAGTATTGAACGCTGCCTCATTGGTGATACAAAGAGGGATCTTGTGCGCCGATAGGCATGCGATGCAATGCTATTGAATATATACAAAAAAAAAAAAAGAATTGACAATAGACTACAGGGTATAATATGTCGCCATCTCCTCCTGGAACCAATCATACGAGTAAAACAATTGCTCTGCCAACTGAGGGTCAATCTGCCGGGGTATCCCATCAACCAGCAACACATCATCCAGCATCGGTGCCAGGGGCACCGGCGGCGGTGGGATGGCTGGCAGCGAAGACGGTGGCGTAGGGGGAAGAGGTGGCTGTGGTTGGGGATACGCTGTTTCTTGCTGCGGGTGCTGCTGCCGTTGTTGCTGCTGATATGGCATTTGGCTGAAAATCATCGAGCTTTGACACCGAAAGGTCTCCCCGAGTCTTTCCACTCCCGGCCGTCGCTTGCCAAACTCCTCCAGTAGCACAATCACCGCCTGGATGGCCCGGCGCATCATCTGCTCATCCGGCTGCCATAAGGGCGGCCGTCCATCTCGAAGGGCCCGTGAATTTTGTTCTAAACACCAGAGAATGGTAATTCCAGCAAAATACGTCTGGCTCAGCGTCAGCCAAATCCATTTGATCTTGCCCACCGAATAGCTGTCCCAGTACGACCGAATGACCTGAATGCTAGAGTCGCCGCAACTAACAATGCTAGTGGCGTCAGGGGTGGGATTCCGCGGACTGGGGCGGTACATCAGAAGTAGAGTGGTGTAGTAGAGATAGTCGTAGTAGCTGGTCGAGTACAACAGTGCAGGCGGATACACAGGCGCGGCCATGCGCCAGTCATCAAGCTCTTGCCGGAATTGAACCAGCATCATCGAAACTTCTTGAGGATCCGGAGGCGGTTGATTGTTGTACACTACTTTGTTAGCCGGAACAGTAGACCAAACCGCCATGAAAGAACTCACAATAACGATAGATCCGGGAGAACAGGCGGCGCAGCTTAACCACCTGAACCGGAATGGTCATGGTACTGCCTCCCGGCACTTCGGTCCAGTCATCGTTAAACTCTCGGGGCAAACCCACGCTGATGTCCTCATCAGCAATTCCCAACGGTCGCCCGAGTGTTGACGCAATCAACCGGTCGAGATTATACAAACTCCAGAATGCCCGCTTGGCCATTTCCTCCTCCATCAGACTAGCCGAGGACCGCATCTTGTGGAGACCAAGACTGGTCGCCAGTCGCATGGCTGTCCCCAGAACATGCCACACGCTAGGGCCGCTGGTCGCAAACATTGTATATAGCGCCAGACTCAGCAAGGCCCGTACGGCGGCCAGGTCCTCGTTCTGCAAGGCCAGCGAAAGCGTCTGCTGACTAGCACGATAGAACTCGCTGATCTGCGCATCGTCCGCCGATCCGATCAACAGCGCAATTGCTATCGTGATATGGTACGAGTAGTGATCTTCCGGAGTCGGTACTCCGCCCGCGTAGATGTGTCGCAGAAGCGCCATAAAGTCCGGTCGCGACAAGAAAGGATACTGGTAACCCATACTATCAAAGTAGTTGCCTGCTATTCGCTCCGCCTCTTCCAAGGACGGTAAACGGACGACGCGCGGGGCCGACGCTGTCGGGCGTGCCACCGACGGCCGACGATGCTCAAGCTGGTCGCGAAAAATCTCCCCTACGTTGGGCAACTCCGTGCCAAACCCAGACGCTTCTGACGCTGGACCGGTCGAGGACCCTCGTCCGCTACCGGCAGGACTTGACGTCGCAACACTGCCCGCACCGATGGATTGTCGATTACTGTATCTGGCCATTATGGCGGGCACCTGGTACCACCAATCCGGATCACCTTCCCCATCCACATTGCTCCCCGTGGGTATCTCAGCCACCGATAGTCCTGTCTTTCGTCGGAGGACATCTTCCAACCATTCAACTCGCTTCTGAAGATTCTCGAGCTGGTCGCGAGGGACAGAGGCGCTGGCGATCTGCGGACCGGGTGGTGGAACAGTACATCGAACCCCGGCGCGAGTACACGCGGAGCAATTGGGATACCGGAAATCGCATTTTTTCTTCCGTTTGCGACAGAAATCACACGCGGTGGAAACGCGTTTGGGGCGGGTGCCGTGAGAAGGCTGCAGCGGGGAAGCGACACTGGCGGTGGAGTTGGGCGGTGGAAAAAGAGGAGGCACGGATCGAGGCTGCAACTGGGACTGCGACGAAGAAGAGGATGAATGGAGAGGAGGAAGCGGAGTAACGACGGACTCGAGACGGAATTTGCCCAACTGATCGCGAAATTCCTTGTCCCTGGCGCTCGAGCCGGTGGCCATGGTGGTTGCGGTCACTGGTGTCGGTCGTGAAAGGCGGAGAACACGCTCGGACGAGAGGCCATAGCGATCTGACGCCAAGGAAGATGGTGGAAGTTTAGTGATCAATCATAAGTGATGGTGAGAAAGCTTCATGTATTGACGTATTGACAATCAAGAATGTGGTTTGAGGAAGAGATGTTGTTGGCTGGAAGAGGAAATGGAAATGTTGCAGCGGATACGGAGTAATCGGCGATAGAGTTGGAACCGAGACCAGGAATGTTGGAAGAAGCAATTACTGCCACAGAGAAAGATAGCAGTGTTACATTGACCTACTATTTGCATTTATTGGTTGTATTTTTTTGCCCTCATTGACAGGAGGATTCATTGTCCAGGCATAGAGAACTTGATTGGATTGAACTCGTCCCTTATGAATGCGACCTCTCTGCATGCAGACTGTCAATATATTCTCCAGCATCTTCTCCATCAATGACCCAAATCAGGAACGAAGCAAATCCACAGCCAAGACGGCGCCCACTTCTTGTCCTGGGCAGTTACAAGGGTCTGTCTCTGATCTGAACCAGTCAATCCACCAAGGTCGCAACAATTCAATTATTCAGGCTAATCTGCCGTCCATCTGCCGTTCGATCGACCCGCTCTATGGCTCGCCATTTCGCTAGGCCCTTGAGGCCTCGACTCCTCCCTAGAGGAGTACCCTTAAGCGAGACGTTGCAAATCAGGTTCTTTCGACTCTGCACGATGAAACTTCGTCTCCCCTGACTAGTTCGGGGGCCGACGGGGTTCAACAACCGATGCGGAGTTGTACCTCGTATTCAACCGACGATCTTCTTCACTTGGCCAAGTGAGTTCCAACAAATCGCGTACAATACCACTATCGATGCAGGAGGTTATCAAGGTAGTATCCCTGGGGTCTATTCTGGGGTGATCGGCATCGTATCCGCCCTTGAATGCGACAATACAGGCAGGGAAGACCACGAGCGGAATATTCGGCATATCGCCGAGACGAGGATAAATAGGAGTCTTCGTCCGGCAGACCAGGTCTGATCTTATTGCTTTCTCAGACACAATCAATCAACATGATACTCGATCTAAAGCAGGTCGCGGCTGTCCTCCTGGCTTCGGCCTCTGTGGCCCAGGCCACCGTTCAAGGCTTCGATATCTCCCACTACCAGGCCAACGTCAACTTTGCGGCGGCATATAACTCTGGTGCCCGCTTCGTCATGATCAAGGTACATTTCTTCGTCCGTGCTTCATACTATACGGAGTCCTGACCGTTCTAGGCCACCGAAAGCACCACCTACACCGACCCTTCGTTCTCCAGCCATTACACCGGTGCCACCAACGCTGGTTTCATTCGCGGTGGCTACCACTTCGCCATCCCCAATGACAGCAGCGGCGCCGCTCAGGCCAAGTACTTCCTTGCTCACGGAGGAGGCTGGTCAAATGACGGCATCACCCTCCCCGGTATGCTGGACATCGAGTACAACCCCTATGGCGCCACATGCTACGGACTTAGCGCCTCTCAGATGGTGTCTTGGATTTCCGATTTCGTCAACACCTACAAGAGCAGCACCGGCCGGTATCCGATGATCTATACCACCGCTGACTGGTGGAACACCTGCACGGGCAACAGCAAATCTTTCACCGAGTGTCCTCTCGTCCTGGCTAGGTACTCGAGCTCTGTGGGCACCATTCCGGGCGGATGGCCGTATCAGTCGTTCTGGCAGAACTCCGATAGCTATACCTATGGTGGCGACTCGGACATCTGGAACGGCACTTTGGACAACCTCAAGAAGTTCGCCAAGGGTTAGATACGATGCGGTATGCCTCAGCATGCTGATGATTACTGTGATCTGAGCATGAACTGCACAGCGTTAGGGTAGCTCCAGATCCTTTGATCATTTGATTACAACATTTATTGCGGTAGCTAGTATAGCCAAGTTGAATGATATACGTGAATGAGCACTCTCTCAATCAAAGCAGACCCTCCATGAACATAGGCAGCCCGTGAATGAAACATAGCATTGTCTATGACAATTACGTCACTCACGCCTATCTCATTCACGGCCAGCCCCCTCTAGACTCTTGTCCGTGAATAGCTTCAATTATAAAAATGGTCTCTAGTGCAGAATAGCCGAGATATGTATACCGTTTCCTCTCTGCTCCTCTCCTCCCTTTGCTCCTTTGCATACCCTCCATGCATCTACTTGACTTCTCGAAGACAGATATCTTGGGTTGGTTCTTTGACCAAGAAGCCTACAAGCACACTCTTTATGGACTTGCTCCAATGCCAACCTAGACACATTGCTCATCGTCCCTGAGTGTGATCAAGCTACTGACCATAGCGGATGTGTCAGAGTAAGCAAAAGAAGACCCTGAAGGCATCTGTCTGGCTAACGTAACAACAAGCGAGGCCCAGCTTGGTGTTGCACAGCAACAGCCCAAGTTCAAAGCGTGGTTCTATATCGTCTTTATTTGCGGCTGTCTGACCTCGCATGCGGACATCACACTTGCCAATGCTCAAATCCAAGAGTATGGCAATAGATCGTCAGTCATTGAAAAGCTCGCATACATGCGGCTATTGTTTCCGGGTGTGAACATGTGCATGCTCTCGGCAGTCCCCAGGAGAATTTCAAGCACGCAAGTGTCGAAAAAGACAATGGACTGGACGGTCCATTGTCGCTTCCTGGCAATACGACCTTGCCAACCTATTTTGTTGGGCCCTTCCTCTTCCGTCAACTTCATGAAGGACACCTTTGTTTGTCCTTCGGATGTCAGATTTCTGGACTCTACAGCTCCCTGTCTCAAAACCACCTCCTTTTCATAGGAGAATTGGGCAGCTCACACTCTAGGGTCCGAAGGTTCAGAAAACGAGGTTGTGAAACTCATCAATCCAAGACGGCTCTAATCCGTAGTTTGATAGATCCCATTTCAATTTTTCATCATTTTACTTTTTTACCTCATTTTACCTTTTCCCCCTCCCTCCCCCCGGGCGTTTCCTCCTGTTTTTCCTTTCCTTTGATGATGGCTCGAAAGACCGTTAGCAAAGGAAAGAAGGTCGTTGGGGGTCGGTCTCGCACCGATTCCCGTGAAAAAGAGGCAGTTGGCTCCGACAAACTGTCTATTATTAAGGACAGTGGCCCTGTTCATTAGTTTCAACATCCCTAACGTCCTGGAGGAGAGCCCCATATCGGTCGTTCAAGACAATTGTTTGAAAACTTCAGGCCTTGAAACGCGCTCAGGGAGCGCAATATCGCGGATGTCTTATCAGCTAGCTCGGCGTATGAGAAGGCCCTGGACGCAAAACCAAGCAGGAGATTCGATGGATAACCGAGCTGGGTGGTGTAACCAGCCTTCTTCATCGACCGCATACAAGGTATGTGAGCGTTTATACTCCATGGGCAATATAACACTTGCCATGTGCTCGGCAAAAGTGCATGTTTCTCAAGTTCCGTTTATGGTTCCTATGGCTGACGAAATGTGGCTATGTACCGACAGGATGCTCATTATGTTGACGTGGCGGATTCCCTGGGTCGAGAGCAAGAAACTGTTAGACTTCCATCGATGACTGGTTGAAATCGGCCAGGTGCGATGAGCAAGGTAGCCGAATCCCAGCATCGCCAGCATGTTAATATCGCTGTCATACTCTGCAACAATACCGAAGGTTCATTGTCGTTCCCTTTCAGGGCCAGATGCATACTCATGGAAGACTTCAATGCACCACGAACGAGCTCTTCGTCAGAGTACACACCCACCCTTGGACGACAGCCTGGAGTAACCTGTCAGTAGCACTCGCTTGAGGACATCAACCACATTCGATCGCCAACACCGCTTTTTCGACTATACAAGTTCGCGGAGTTAAAAAATATCTAGCTCAACGTCGATCTCAATGAATCGAAGCAAGTAGTTTCTCTCACCACAAGCAGGGAAAGTCGGCATTGCTTCGAATTCTATTCACTGTCAAACGAAATTACGCTTAAGCGTCGCGTCATTGTCTTCTCGGGAGTACAACACCCAGCTACCAGCAAAACAGAAGTATCTACCGGTCCTTTGCGTCATACAGGACGTCCATCGACTTGCAATCGATACAACCGAACACCGAAACCATACCAGATCTGCACACTCAATGATTCAAGCGACATTTAGGATATGCAAGATGCATGACACGGAGAGAATCACCGAGTTCAACGAACTCAAGAGATACCACTGTGTCTAAAGCGAGCCACAACAACTCCGCCGCATTGCTCAAGTATCACTTTGTTCAGTGTGCATCCACCACAATCTGAGACAGTGATGAACGGACCCAATGGAGGCTTCTACATTACCCAGCTGACCAACACCCCTTGACCCTTTGAAATCGAAAATCCGTGTACAAGGAGTGGGATATTACCGGGCAAAGTGCCTAAAATTTGTTACTTTCAGTGAAATGTATGCTAATATGTCTAATCACCACTACTACTCAATAGTGATTGGGTATGGACCTCTTCAGTGCAGTCATCCTATCCGAAACAGAAATGCAATCTGCTATTGTACAGCAATCGACTTAGTAAGTTTGATCAGCGATCCATGGCAAGCCCGGCACAAGAGGATCCAATGCCTAGTTCTATGACCTTGAACCTAAGGCAGTATACCGTATACCTTACTTCAAACGAGCGGAATGCATGGCACTATTTCCATACATTGACAGGTCCAGACATGCGGCTTCCTTTCAGCTATTGGATGCACTGGTCCGTTTTCTTCTGTCCACCTTGGCGACTACCCCGGGGTTAAGAGGAAGCGATGGCGAGGGTCTTGCGAGATACCAGGAGGGTACTTTTGCTACTAGTCAGATGGCGTACATAAAACTAGATTCAGATAATCTAGATTCATAGAAAGCCTGTTTGCAGAGAAATTCCATTTCTGGTAACGTGCTCTGGCACATATATCGGAGTTGGAAGATATTATATCACTGGAGGGCAAGCGCCTCCTTGGGGTAGTAGACCCGGCCAAACCTTTGCAGTTTTGATAGTCAATTGGATTGATTGCGCATACAAGTCAATCGGTCTTGAGAATTGGGGGGCTATAGCAAGTCCGACGCTTTCCAGACATGCGGTTTGTAGGCTCCGTTTGTACAGCTCTATCTGACTTAGATTTGGTCCATGGTCTAACGCCCTCAAGGCAAGAGCATATTCCTTGACGGTTATTATATTTACTGGGTTGGTGAGATCTACGGGCAATGTTGTTCAATCTTTGATAATAGAATAGCTGATGAGACTTGAACTTAAGGAGAACCACAAGCAGTCAAAGAGGGATAGTCTTGGGAACTACGAATGGATACTTCAGTCACTGTTCATCTTGCCAAGAAAGAGGCATGCCAAAGGCTCGACTAGTACTGCAGCATGCATACCGTTCGTTGGTATTGTGGAATTTCATTGTGCGGATGTTCGCTATCTAGCCCAGGCTGACGCCAAACTATCTAATCAAATGGACGGAGCTACTCTCTGCAGGAAGACGGGCAGTCTTTGGCTAGGCTTCATTTCATATCATGGATCCAGAGCTATATCACTCCGCGAGGACGACAAGATGGCTAATTGTGGTTACGAGGACTGTGGGCATCTGTGTTTGCTCAGCGTTTGCAGTCGACTTGAGCCGGGGAGTCACTCTCGCGTCTGTACCTTTGACAGGATAGCGACCGGTTATTCAGCGGATACATTGCGAATGCTTCTTGATTTTGTGAAACCAGTAGAACAGTGTGGATTACGGTTGAACAATCAAATAGCACTTCGAATCAGACATACAACAGTTGACTCGTGTTTACGAGCATATCAAACTTGGAGGGTGAAGGATACTCTCACTGTGTGCACTACCCAGCTCTGCACAAATCGAGAACAAGATTAGTCTATAGGTACTCAAAAAGTCATCAAACAGACCACTCTGCCGCAAGCTGGATACGGGTGGGTAGAACTAAAGCAAACATGATTGAATCAGGGGAACGTGAATCATTGACTATTGGCTATTCCGTGAATAGTCTGAGACTGACAGATACTTGAAGGAATTGCTGAGGAGACATAATTAACGGAATGATACACGGTTTCCGTGGCGTCTGTGACGGATCTTGTGTATTATCTGCCCTCTGGTGATTTATACTCACTCGGCACCGTTATCATCTTCTCTTCTCTTCTCACTCACCTCTCTATCAAGATATCCACACGATATCAAACTTGCTTCTGTTCTTAGACAAGTACGGAGTTTTCAAATTCATGTATTCTATGCTCCTTGACAAAGTGATCTGCCCCAGACCAGGAGTACCGAAGCCAAGGGGCAAGCTTCCGGAGAGATCGTGGCTTTGCTCAACTTCCTCTTTGCCTTTGGCAAGGGATATGTCAATCAGGCACTCTCTTCCATCAAACCATGCACTTTCGTCAAGTCACTGTTCCGTCCATCCTCTATCACGAGCGCGGAACCTTCGGTTATGTGGTTGTTGCGTGAACCGGCCAGTCAAACGAGGTGCCTGGTCCGATTCATGTACGCTGCGGAATTCCAAGCTGGCCTCAGCATATCCGGAGGAACATATAGGCAAGTGCTCACATGCTGATATGTTGTGCTGGACTGACAAAGTTGCTGATATTAGACATTTATTAAGATATATGAACTCCTCGTTGGCAAGCCAGAATCCCCGGCTCTCGACATCCTCGGATAGATGATCTTCCAAGCCACCAGCCCTTCTGTGCATCAGCCATCGTTGTTGTGCTTCCTCAAAGTGAATGAATTCTACCCTAAGCTCAGAGACGCAACGAATGCCGGAGTGAAGTATAGACTGTACCGTTCGTGGGGCTTATGCTTTGCTAACCTATCAATAGGTCAAGACCGCATTCTACAAAGAAGGCTGATGGCAGGCGAGATACTCTCCCTACAAACGTCCACATTACAGTCATTGCTGCGAACAAACCATGGCCGAATTTACGTGAGTCGTTTCTGTTGCTGTCCAGACTGCTGTCCAATTTGCTTATTGACTGAGCGAAGTCCAGATTGCAGAATATGAAGCTGTCAGAGAACTCGAAGGGCATCGGGTGCCGATTGATGCTCATATCGAGGTCGCTATGTCGCCCTTGTGATGGCTTAGGCTTTTTTGCTGTACAGTCTCACTAAGAGTGATTCAATCAGCCCATACAGAAATGTCAACGGACGTCGGAAATATAAAGCTCCTTCTCAGTCTGTCAGGCGCAGTCCTGGACCCAGTGGAATTGGCCAACCTTTTTGTTCTCTACTATTGTGAGAGACATCCTTCCATTTCAATAAGCAGGGTGAGCTAATGAACTCAGCTCAATACTTTTTGCTTGAAGGCGTTCGCGCGGCGTCGTCCAGTTATTACGGCGACAAATCGACAGTTGAAGAATGCCGCTGCTCCTCCTCCCGAGCTGAAGAACTCATTCCCAACGGGCTTGAGAAGATATAGGTACCGAATCCGAGGATCCTGAGGAAGGGTGGGGCTATTGCTGAAGGGTTTTGAAGGGGAGGATCTTGTTTGTTCTGCATGTTCACCCCTTCGGTCCAGATTTGGCCGTTCTGTGCGAGAACATCATAATACCGCAACGAAATGGCTTGCAAAGACAGCCACAGGGATTCGAATCGAAAGACGACGTCATCATATGGTCTTCTTCAATACTTCCCCGGCTCAGAATCCCGGACAGAGTCTTACCTGCGACTTGAGTGACGAAAGATGCCATGGAACATTTGTTGAAAATGCCTGGCGAGTCGAAGGTCTCGCTCAAACATAGCGAGTGGACAGATGACTGTCGATTGTTTGACATCTGCCCCTCTGTATGGCGTCCCCGATTGGGTAATTTTTTTAATGCTAGAAACACTAATGACAGGATAGATACCGAAGTCGCCAACTGGTATTGGCCCGGCTCAGCAGCAATTTAACCTCTACAGATGACATTCATATCACTGTAGGTAAGTCGAACCCTTCAAGATACTTGTTTAACTTTGTCTCTTTTCCTAACACAGGAGATTAACATTTGAAGCTCTTCTAGAAATAAATCATCCTTCAATCTAGGGACCGACGAGTGCAGCATGACATTGTTCCCTGCAACTTCGTGGTACACTTGCTCGCCGCTATACATCGACGACCTGACTTAAAATCAGCAGCAAATACTGGACCCTTAGCCCCCTCCCCGGACAAAACTCCGAGTCTATTCTAAACAAAAGTATTTAGGACTGACACGTTCTCATTTTGAACCATTCGGCCATTGCAACGAAGTAGAGGGAAAGCATGGTTTGGGGCCGGCAAGGCTCCATATAAGGTTTCTCACCTTGAGCCGATTTCGCGATGGCTTTCCTGCAAGGTCTCCTCATGTCAGGTTTGGCATAAAAGCAATCGCATGCCACGTTGACGAGCAAGTCTTCGGTAGAAGAGCAACGGCCCTTCTTCAAGAAATATTCAGTCCATTCACAATGCGAGTGACTTCAAACACTGAACAAGTCCGTTTGGAGAAAGTGGCCTGCAAGTTCAATATCGATGATGAGAGGAACCAATACGAATGGGAGGGCTTTGTGTGTCGCTAGGCAACTCATCTGCCTTCCATGAAATCCGTTGAAGGGCTCTACCCTTTTCACAGCCTTAGACTCCCCAGTCACTGTTGAGCGTCCAAGTCCAGAGTCGAGGCATGGTGCCTGAGAACGAAAATGCCCGAAGGCAGACATATCGCTTCGCCAGCCGATAGCAGGCTCATGATGGTTTGAGGACATTTGTATCGCGCTCGTTTGGGCACACACCAGCCAGGTAATTTGTCTATGTGCCTCGACGAGGTCTGTATCTGACGTCAAAATTCACAACCGTTTCTGTGCTGATCAACGCGAGCGTTGTCACTCGTTCCCTTATGCGAACCGCATTGGTCCTGCCTACCCCTTCTCCTCATTTGGATGGTATAACTTTTCCAAGTAAGTAAACAGGCCACCCCCTAACCTCGCCCAAGTATTACAACTATGACAACGAAACGGGGATCCAGGGTCACTTTGCGGAGGCCGTCAGTTAAGCACTCGGTCCCATTATGGAAACCTTGGGCTGAAGAGCAATATGGCCGATGACCGGGCCGGAGTGCCTGTGGCAGGGAGTCGCATTGCAATCATCCGAAATCCTCCATGCATAGTCAGAAAGGCCCAGAAGATATCTATCATAGCTATGTGGCTTCGGGCTTCGTGTGGATTCGAGAGGAGAGGTACTCATCTCCAACACGTACATGGAAGTTTTCAGGCGCCCGCGCCTTGATCGTCAGAACCACCTTGATTACATCGACGCCGCACATCGAAACTTAGATTGAGGAGGCATGTGCGCATTCTAGGCTTCTCTTACGAACTCTTCACTTTCATGTACTCTACCGCTCCTTTCCCGCCCTTGGAGTCCTGCTGCGTTAGTCTGGGTGGTAAGGTATCTTCTGTTTGGAATGGCACGGGATGCAAGCAACTCTTGAGCATCAAAGAATCTAAGCGATTGATGATGAGAGCCATGATGCTCTGCCAGAATCCCTTGTACGACGACTCCACTGGTATCATCAATGTCCTCCCTTCATACGCTCAGCATGACACAACACGTAACCTCGGCCGCGAGATCGACTTTTTCTGCTTCGGAATGGGGCTTGATCCTACGTCTGTACACTTAGAAAATGGGGTCCAGACGCGAGCTGGTGGATCAACCATTCCAACAGAGAGGTTAAACTCATCACCCTTATCTGGATCTGCCCTAATCACAAGCCGCTCGAGATCGAAAAGTGGGTTCCAGAACAAATACTTTCCCTCTCACCCCTTGGTACGATGTATCCAGAGGAACCAAAGCTAAGCGGCAAGACTGAATTGGGCTGAGCGGTTCTGGGCTCCACGAAAATCCTCTCAGCATAAGGTTGCAATGCATGACCACTTTCAAATCAAGAGGAGTAGTAAGCGAGGTGCATCTGTTAAAATCAGGACTCTCACATTCGTTTGTGGATATCATCAAGAATTTGGTGGAGCATTGGATTCAACAGCACAAGAACACAAAATGTACATTCTCAGACAGCCGATCATGTCGATGATATTGCTTTGACTAGCACCTACCAAAAACGAATCGGAGTCCCTGTTATGATCTACAGGGCACACAGAGCAAATTGTCGTAGCTGGGAATATTCTGCAGATACCTTAACCCATGAAGTAAGTCATGTTAGTGACTAGCCACATGCCATATCGTAAATCTTGCGGGAAATTCATGTTGGACGACCGGCCGGTAAGCTCATCAGAAGAGGATAATATCAAATGCACTCAAACGACCGAGCTAAAAACGTGCCAAACAAGCTTAGAGAACTTCCATCGGATGCAAAATATAGAGTAGAACATTCTCGCGTGGTATGAATATTCCACAGACCCAAAAAGGAAGGCACCCCGTGCTAGGAAAGATAGCGCGGAGCGACTTGGCGGGGACTAGTCTGTTCCTGGTTAGAGCATGAGCTTGTGCAGGGACTTCAGGATCGTGCACACCCTGCTGGTAATCCCCCTGCTTAAATCCGGCGATCCGGGAGATGCCGAGGTATGTTCCCGATTCTGAAGCTGATTAGAAATCATTTGATGGAAAATCCTAGAATGTATGTCTCATTGGCATTGCATTGTTACACTAGTAGGTACAAAAGTTTCCACCTCCTTGAAAGTTCCAGACACTGTGTAGCCGTCGTAGTGGATCAACGATTGATCGTCATGATGCAATACGTAATTGGGCCCACCCGCCTCTACCGTCAATTCCTAAGGATTGGTAAGCGTCAACTCGCAGCATACTTCTATAAATTCCTCCCTTCTCGAGCGCTTCCTAAGAAGTAGTACACCAAAGTCTATAGCAGAATCAAAATGTCTACCCAGAAAGCAGTCGTCATCACCAGCCCCAAGCAGGCGAACTTGGTTACCGACCGTCCCATTCCCAAGCTGCGCGATGACTACATTCTCATCAAGACCGTCAGTGTGGCCCTGAACCCCACAGATTGGAAGCACATCGACTACCTGGCTCCTCCTGGTGTGCTAGTCGGCTGCGACTATGCCGGTATCGTCGAGGAAGTTGGCAAGGCCGTCAAGAAGCCCTTCAAGAAGGGTGACAGAGTCTGCGGGTTTGCTCACGGCTCCAACGCCGTGCAGCCCGAGGACGGTACTTTTGCCGAGTACATCGTCGCCAAGGGCGATCTGCAAATCCACATCCCCGATAATCTGAGCTTCCAGGAAGCCGCCACGCTGGGCGTCGGTATCACCACCGTCGGCCAATCGCTCTATCAGTCTCTCAAGCTCAATTGGCCAACAGAGCCGATCAAGGACGCTCAGCCTCTCTTGATCTATGGCGGTTCCACTGCCACGGGTGCCCTGGCTATTCAGTTTGCCAAATTGTCGGGCTACCGGGTGCTGACGACGTGCTCGCCGCGCAACTTTGACCTCGTCAAGAGTCTGGGCGCCGATGCGGTGTATGACTACAACGACCCCAACGCTGCGGCGGAGATCCGCAAGGCCACCGACAACAAGCTCAAGTATGTGCTGGACACGATCTCGCTAGAGTCGAGCGCCAAGTTCTGCGACGAGGCGCTGAGCACCGAGGGAGGAGAGTACACTGCTCTTCTGATTGTTCCCATTAAGCGCGAAAATGTCAACGATCGCTGGACGCTCGGATACTCTGCCGTCGGCGAGAAGTTCATGTTTGGCGACAAAGAATTCCCTGCGAAGCCGGAAGACTTTGAGTTTGCGAGCAAGTTTTGGGCTGTCGCTGAGAAGTTGCTGGCAGAGGGGAAGGTGAAGCCGCACCGGCCCAAGGTGTGTCCGGATGGACTGAAGGGTGTTCTGAATGGCCTGCAGCTCATGAGAGAGGGCAAGGTCAGCGGAGAAAAGTTGGTGTACAATGTTGCTGAGACGCCTTGAATCACACCTAGTGTATTAGTGTATTAGTGTATTAATATAATGAAGCACAAAATTTCACTTAGTCTCTGCTGCTAGGTAGCACCTAGACGAAAGTACTTCCTGAGAACATCCTCTATTGGCTTCAGTCCTTCTGCTTCTCATTTCCCATCTCCAAGCTCGGAAATCATCAATATGGGTACCGCGATGCAAGTAATCGGCACATATGTTTAGATTTATCACTTGCTTGTCATCAAGTCTGAAGCTAACTTGAAGATATGTCTGTTGTGATGCCGATTTATGGAATCCATCTGACGTCGGGCAATGGTCGTCAGGAAAAGGCCTCTTCATCGGAATCAGTTACCGAAGTGAGAAGCGAGCAGTGAGAGTGAAGTGGTGATCGACCCGACCCACCCACGCCCTTCGGTTTAACAAGCCGAACATTTATCTGACTCAACAGAGTCAACTTGGACCTTTATTCTTTCAAAATATCGACGACAAAGAGACAACATGGAATCAGATATTCAACTGCGTCTACGCTCAGAAGAACAGTCTTTAAATTCCCTTCAGGATCATGACCACGAGCAAAACCAACAGCTCCCTCCGATGGACGGCGGGAAGGACGCCTGGCTTTTCCTAGCGGCATGTTTCATGATAGAGGCCCTTATATGGGGTAAGCTCCTGCATGTACACAGTCCATCACTTCTAGCAGACCTAATTCATGTCCAGGTTTCTCCTTCGCCTTTGGTATCTTCCAGGACTACTACAGCACCCATGAGCCCTTCCAAGGGTCCAGCAATATCGCCATCATCGGAACATGCACAATGGTAATTCCACTGTTATATGGCAGAGACCAGCTGCTGATCACCGCTTAGGGCGTCAACTACCTCCTTGCCCCCGTCAACTTTGGCATCCTCCTTGCCTTCCCGCGGTTACGTATCTGGGCCGCACCCGCCGGTTTTGTGACCATGTCACTGGCCCTGGCACTCAGTTCGTTCTCCACGACCACAACGGAGTTGATCATCTCCCAGGGTATGTTCTACGGACTTGGTGCTAGTGTCGCGTACACGCCGACCATCATCTTCATGGACGAGTGGTTTGCGAGACGGAAGGGGCTGGCGTTTGGGATTATGTGGGTGAGTTTTTTGCCCTGCAGCTTACACTGCAGTACTTCGTGCTGAAAATGGACAGGCAGGAACAGGTCTCGCGGGTGTCGTGCTTCCGGTTGTATTACAATGGCTCCTGAATACGTACGGATACCGCGTCGCCCTGCGCGCCTGGGCCGTGATCCTCTTCGTGCTTGCGGCGCCTCTGCTCTACTTTGTGAAACCGCGCGTGCCTATCTCGGCGTCGTCCAGCATGCGCACGTTCAACCTCTCTTTCGTCCTTGATCGGACGTTTTTGATCTACCAGGCGGGGAATATCATTGAGGCGCTGGGATATTTCCTTCCCACGATCTATCTCCCGACATATGCGCGTTCACTGGGGGCGAATAACCTCACCGCCTCTCTGACTATCATCCTGTTGAACCTTGCTTCGGTCTTTGGGTGTATCATCATGGGCTCGTTGGTTGACCGCTGTCATGCGACGACGTGTATACTCATCTCGACTGTTGGAACTGTGTTGGCGACGTTCCTGCTATGGGGTTTCGCGATTAGTCTGGCGCCATTGTTCATTTTCTGTGTGGTCTATGGCCTATTTGCGGGCTCATTCACGTCGACATGGCCTGCTATCCTGGGAGAAGTGCGTAGGAAGAATGCCTATGCGGATCCAGGCATTGTCTTTGGGTTCTTGTGTTCGGGACGGGGTATCGGGAATGTGGTTAGTGGGCCGTTAAGTGAGGCATTGATGGCGGGGGGGAAGTGGAGGGCGGGGTACGGGTACGGCAGCGGATATGGAGGGCTGATTGTTTTTACGGGCGTGACAGCCCTCTTTGGGGGGTTGAGTGTGCTGGCCAGGCCATTGAAGTTGTTGTAAACTTGTAACTATCACCAAGTCAACACCAATGTCCCGAGATCGGAAGAGCTGCGGGGTTGCATGACTCACGGCTATACTCTTAGCCATGACCACAAAAATATCTCAACACCTCAATCAGCTTCGTCAAGCACCAATTGATCAAGAAATTGGTCAACACATCTGCAAAATGTCCAGAATTAAATTCGCCATTCTCGATGACTACCAAAACCTCTCCCGCAAGCACTTCGCCCACCTCACCTCCCGCGTGGACGTTTCGTACTTCCCCGATACCCTCGACCCGCGCGACCCCGCGCAACAACAGCAGCTGATCGGCCGCCTGCGGCCGTTCGACGCCATTCTCGCTATGCGAGAACGGACTCCCTTCAACGCAGCCACCATCGACGCCCTCCCCAACCTGAAACTCCTCCTAACAACCGGCAACCGCAATTTATCCCTCGACCTCCCCGCCCTCACCGCGCGCGGGATCCCCGTTGCAGGAACCGTCGGCCGACCCCCAGGTGTCAACTCCACTGTCCAGCACACCTGGGCCCTGATCCTCGCTCTAGCGCGGCACGTCGCGCGCGACGACGCAGCCGTAAAGGCAGGGAAATGGCAGGGTTCGCTGGGGGTCAATCTATCCGGCAAGACGCTCGCGCTGCTGGGACTCGGCAAGCTGGGTGCGCAGGTCGGGCGGATCGCAGTCCTCGCGTTCGGGATGAAGGTCATCGCGTGGTCGGCGAACCTGACGCAGGACAAGGCCGACGAGCAGGCGACCGCGCAGGGGTTACCGGCGGGGAGCTTCGAGGCGGTGCCGGAGAAGGGGGAGTTCCTGCGGCGGGCGGACGTGCTCAGTGTGCATTATGTGCTGTCTGAGCGGAGTCGGGGGATCGTCGGGGCAAAGGATCTGGCTGCGCTGCGGCCGGAGGCCATGATTGTGAATACATCGCGGGGTCCGCTGATCGATGAGCGGGCACTGCTGGAGACGCTGAACGCGGGTCGGATCCGGGGCGCGGCGCTCGATGTGTTTGATCCGGAGCCGCTACCTGTTGATAGCCCGTGGCGGACCACGGCTTGGGGGGTTGATGGCCGCAGTGAGGTGCTGTTGACGCCGCATATGGGGTATGGGGAGGAGGAGCTGATCAATGGGTGGTATAAGGAGGCGGCTGAGAACTTGGAGCGATGGTTGGATGGCAAGGAGCTGCAAGTCAGGTTGAATTGATCATATGTCCATGATGTACATAATGGCACGATGAATCGCTGGCGTGCATGACATGTGGGATGTGCATACGCTGGAGATTGCTAATTGCCTATCCTGATGGAGTAAATCACCCGGTATGAAAGTCAATCTGAAACCTGCTAGAGTTGACTTGCACGTGGACGCTCACCGGCTGGACTAATTCGTCCTTTCAGATGCCAATCAGACTACGGAGTATCCTGCTATGCAAACCTTAATGGAGCCTAATATAGTGCCATACCTAAGACAGTTGGCAATTGTGCTTGGTCAATCTACTTAAACAATTGTACCTCGGCAACACGACCGCCGCAAACTGCTCAGTCGGTCCGGACCCACAGAACGACGTTCCATATTTCCGCTGCACAGCATTCCTCGGTAGAAGGGAGTAGGGACATAGACCTGCTTCTAGTTAGCTAGTGCTTAATCATGAAGCAAGTAAACAAATAATGCAAACTATGCCATCATCGACAGCGGCAGGAATCGGACCACCCCACACTTTCACATTCATCTCTCGTATAAGTAGGCGGGGTACCTCACTCCCGGTTCAGGATTGTTTTCTGTATATTTCCATACATGCAAATTGGTTCTCGATCTATTTCCTCAATTGACATCCCCGAGGTTCTATTTTACAATTTCTACAACAATTGATCCAATTGAACCACTATATCAACCACAATGGCCCCCATCGCCGTCCAAGAGCCGACCCCCACAACCTGTACAACAACAACAACCCCACAACCAACCCATCCTGGCTTGATTCAAGTCAACCGCTCCCCCAAAGCCTTCGGCAGCAGTGCCTCCTCTCTTGTCTCCCTCCCGGCAGGCGCCGTTTTTGCCAAAATCACCTCCGCCACGCCCTCCAAGAAGGCCTACACATCCGTCCAAACCGGCCAGGACAGCCACATCGAGCTGAACTCGGACCTGGTGTTCTGCAACCACTCGTGCGACCCGAGTTTGAACTTTGATATGGACAAGATGGAGGTGCGGGTTGTGGACGATCGGCCGTTGAAGGTCGGGGATGCATTGACGTTCTTCTATCCCAGTTCGGAGTGGGAGATGGATCAAGCGTTCAACTGTAACTGCGGGAGTGAGAAGTGCAAGGGGTGGATTTCTGGGGCGAAGACGATGGGGAGAGATGAGCTGGAGGGGTACTGGTTGAATCCGCATATCGAGGAGTTGTTGAGGGAGAGGGACGGGCAGCTGTGATGATGTTTGGTTAGAATAGAGTAGACTTGATAGACTCGAGGTATATACATGGGATATTGGTGTACAAAGATATATGATACGGCTTGCTCTTGATTGCGTTCACTTCTGATGCAACCATTGATATGATCCTTCAGTGATCGGAAGTCCTCTTCGACAGGCGCTTCAGACTGATCCGGTTCCTCGACTCTCCCATCCAATTCCCTCCATTCATCCCTCACGCTGAAGTACTCCTCATAGTCACCGTCCAAGGAACACACCCCGTAACCCTCACATGCCGAGTTTCGACGCAGAGACAACACTATATAATTAGCGCCAGGGATAGATATTTCTATATACCAGACCATATCCAAATATACATATCACATCAAACTCCATCATGCTTGCTGAGCCTTGATCCAAATATCTCTCCCCGCAACCAGAGTACTCACCACCATCGCCATTCCCACCACCAGTTCACTCACCTTAATCCATCCCAAAAATACCCCAGGAATCAACAAATCGCAGCCATCAACCACAATCCGCTTCATTAGGGGTCCAGAGACCCCAGCCTTCCTCTCCTTGCTGCTCTCGCCTTTCTTCTCATCCTGCTGCACCTTACCCGCGGAAGCAGAAGTGGAAGTAGAACCAGAAGCAACCAGTAGCCCCCACAAGGCCCCGACGATGGATAACGCCAACGCGTAGAACCAGAATTTGTACGCCTCAACGATAACAGGCTTATTCCAGTACACGGGGTAGACGTTCATCGCGTGAAGCTGTCAAACCATTAGCCCAGTCTGCAACAAACGAGTAGGACGGAGAAAACTCACGATAGTACAATCCTCCAACACAAAATACAGTCCCAGACACGTCCAGCGGCCGAGCTCAATCAGCGTCGTCGGAAACCCATCAGCTGCAGATTTGCTACTGCTACGGCTACTGCCAAGGAGGGCAAACACCCGCTCGAAACAATCGAGAAAGTTAAAGAAGCGGAAGAAGCGGCGGGCTAGAGTTAGACGGAGACAGACGCATAAGTACTTATAGATTGGTGCATTCGCTGTGACGGAGATACAGGGACTGACTCAGTGCTAATTGCGACTTGGCGGTTGACCAGGTCGTTACTGTTTCATTGTCGATGCTGGTTTCGATAACGATGGTTGCGAGAGCCTGGATTAGTCGGAGAGTTTTCTCGAGGCCTGCCCCTGTGCGTGTGAAGTTGGAGAATTGTTTGATTGCGGAGGGGGTTGAAGGGGAAGGAGGAGGGGCTTTCACTGCCATTGTGATGTTGTTGGCTAGCGAGGTGAGATTCAACTGATTAAGGGTGAGGGGAATTTTTTCAACTTTATGTTGAAATGTAAGATTTCGCATCTCGAGCTTATCGGTCCATCTCAGACCGACAATTGTCTTCATGGCGCATCGGCATCTCTACCCCTGAATGCCGACTTGGCGCTCAGTCCACAATCTCACTAGATAACTGAAGCCAATATGAATATTATGGTAGAAGAACAAGAGTATGCATTCTAGGAAAGCCGAATTCGGGCTTCAGAATAACTATGTAAATGATCATCTACACATCGTTGGCCAGACAATCGCAGTCCTCAAGTATCTGTACATCCTATCAACAATCTATCGCCCCTTTCCACCAGCAATATCCTGTCCCAGCCGGTACCCTCCAACCTTTTCCCACTCCACCTTCTGCCGGGTAATGGGCAATTGTCTCCGCAGGTTCTTGAACGCGCCCTCGGCCATCTGCACGAACGCACGGTTGAGCTCCTCCTGGTAGTCTCGCTCCGCAGCCGCAATGCGGGAGATAATGCTCTCAGCAGAGATCGAGGGAATGGAGATATTGATGGGCTTGTTCGTGTTGAGAGCCACATTGCCATCCTCATAGTAATGCACATCCACAAGGATTTTGCCGCTCACGGTGGTCGATTCGGACACGGGGACTTGATAGATCGAGCGGAAGCGACCGTTCCTACAGCGCGTTCCTCGTTAGCCCATGCATTTTTCCAGGTCTCGGCTGGCACTAACCAGAAGTTGTTTGGCGAGTAGCGGTTCGCAACAAGTAGAATCGCGACAGCCGTGTCGTCCTCGGTAGGGTAGACGCCGTAGGAGCAGTTGGGGTAGTGTTCCGCAGCGTGTTTAGCGAGCGATTTGAGGAGAGATTTGCTGCACTTGTTAGACCATATAAAATCTCCAAAGAAACATGGCAACCTACATCAAATCCGCATTTTGCGATTCCAGGACATAGGATTGCGCACCAGACGCTTGCTTTGATTCAATCAGCCTCCACACGCCCCTCATTCCACCATCAAACCTACCTGTGTTACATGGTCCACCTCAAACGACGTTTGACTCTCGACATCAAAATAACGGTTCCCTTCTAACTTGTTGAATTCACTGACGATGACCTAAGCCCGATCACCTTGTCAGTATACGGCCTCTTGAAGGTTGTACGTAACGTCGACCCACCTCCTGACTAGCTCCGGGCAGCTTCACGGTAGTCAATTGCTTCTCATTGTATCTTTCAAACGCGGGTGCAAGAGAGGGGATAATATCCGATTCGTCCGAGGTAAGTGCCTTGATATCTGTCGTGGACGAAGTGATTCAGTAAGACGACCTGATGGGTATTGAACGCAACTGGCCCTAGGTGATTGCGGGGAAATTCAGCGGATAGGGGATTGTGGGAGATAATACCAGCGACGACATCAGAGAGCTAAAGTGTCTGATTAGTTTTGGATGCTCGACGAGGAAGCAGTAACGTAGGTTTCAATAGGAGGAATGGAGGCCTACCTCGCCTGGCGGGGCACCTTCGATGAACGAGGATGCGAGCTCAACTGTGGAACCCATCACGGCAATTTCGACTTGAGAATAAGCTGGTTCTAATTCCCTGTCCAATATATCTGCTTAAGAATAGAAATAAACAGAAAAGCTCAAAGGAATGACGATAGCAAGTAGATGTAAACAAGGATAGCTCTGAACAGCTCAATTGCTTGTCAGCGGAGACGAAGCTCTAGCGCGATAAGCGGCTATCTTGCACGTGGCCTGGGCAAAGAGAGCGCGGCCGTCTCGGACTACAACTGCGTCATTGCGAATTTTCTGGGAACCATATCGTTCCAATTGATAGAAGACTAGGTTAAAATCATATTCAGGCTAAGTACTAGGTTAACGCCAATGTTGGTACAAATTCCTCTCAACGCCGAGCAAAGGAGGTCTGCGCCAATTGAAATACAAATGCACCACGCTGAAGAAGCAACAAGAAGTTTCAAGTAGAGATTATATGGTATAAACGAGTCCAGCTCGTGGTTGCAGGAGCAGGAGAATTATCGAACCGGATCCAGGCACAACATTTATTCAATGCTCATATTCATGAAACCATCATTGGCTTCAGTCATACCCTGTAGACCAACGCGCTTTAGAGGCTGTCCAGAATGCGAGGTATTCGACGTATTTCTGGCAGGATGCTCTCCGTTCGGTCGATCTGAAAATAGCGAGCCCAAGTTAGACTTGGGAGGGGGCCCCCAGATGTTGTGCCCTGTATCCTTGACCGCGGGCGAATTCGGCATGACAGGACTACTCTGGACACTCATGCTCGGAGACACGGCTCTCCGTTTGAAAAGATTGGGATCAAAGTCATCATCCCGGCGTCGCTTGCGATTGATCTCGGTCATGGCAGGAAAGCTTGCGTGTGGCGTTGAGCTACTCGATCCCGGTCGATCGTACGGTTTAGCAAATTCGGCTGTGCTAGACCCTAGTGTTGTCGACGGCGTGATATCCATGGCAATATCATCCTCAGACATGGCTGATGGCCCCAGTGTGCGCATCGAGGGCGGTGGTGTGCGGTAGCGCTCATCGAATGTATTCCAGAACTCTGCCCCCGCAGAGTTTCGATGAGCTTCATCGCTGAACTTGGGCTCATCCAGGGTAAATGAAGCAGGCTTTGTAGATCCCTCTTCTGCGCTCACCCCTGGCACCGAAGGAGTGAGGGACGACAAGGCCTCCAGGCTTGGTGAGGTGTGTGGAACATCGGGTTCGCTCTCACGGACCTGCCGAATAACCTCCGCCTCACGCTTGGCTTCGCTGTCAATGGGCGCAGACTCCTCCATAAGGGCCGCTCTGATGCGCGCAAATGTCTTTGTTTTAGGCTGGAGACATGGTTAGCTTTGATCATTCCCTCGAGCACTACACTCACGAGTAAGCTTCCACGTCGAGTCACAGCCCGCCGAATCACCCCCAAAGGCCCGCTTTCTGAAGCGGAACCACCAGCCGAGCTGTGACCGTGCCGACTCTCCCCCTCATCACTCAGATCCGACAAGCGCAGATTGCGAGTCCCGAGGCTGAGACTCTCGCGACGGGGGCCGAGTCCTTGTTTCGATCCGAAATAACCACCGTTAGGATTCTCGATGCTTTTCATCACCGGGGGGGAGAGAGGGCCCGGACTTTGCTTCGAGCTATTTCCACTGGCACTGCTGGAGCTGTGTCTGCTACGCCCTTTGCGAAATCGAGCCCGCTGAAAGCTCAACAGGCTAGCTGCTGCCTGTGAATACCCACCCATCCAATCGTTTCCAGGACTAGGGACGTTTCCTGCAGCAAACGGGCTTGGCCCGCCGACCATCTTGTTCGCCTGGGGTGTGCTGGCTATCATCATATCATCCCGATCGCCTATCATCGGCTCGTCATCCTCCTCGCTGCTGCTTGTATCCGACTCCATCATGTTCACGCTGGACACGGAACTCGAGATCGCGGTTCGGTCGGCCGGGCCGGATGTCGAGAAAGGGCCCATAGAGGTTGACCCCGGCGAGCCACGCCGTTGCGGGATGGTGACACCTCGGCCGCCGACCGTTGGTGACGAGTCAGGCGAAGATTCCGCAATGATCGAGTGGTGTAGATTCGTGCATGCTCGGGAGAAGTCGAGTCCTCGTGATCGTCGAGGGAGTACCGAGCCCGGGGAGCCGTAGATGTGCGACGAGTCGAGCTTGGGTGAAAGCGGGGCGCGATTTGGTACGGATGCGGACCCGGCTAAC